GTGCCGGCGCGGGGAAGGGAGCACCTGCACCATATGAGCAGCTACAGCTCTCCACGCTGCCAGTATCAGCAGAGGAACCAGAGCCAAGAAACAATTGCATTGCTGTTTCCCTCTGGTATGACAGATCCATATTTACACACACACGTGCTCGCAGCGTCCCCCTCCATACTGCACAAAGCCTATAGTACGCTCTCCTCCTCCTCCTCCTCCTCTCCCTTCCCGGGTGCCCAGGCCATGAGTCACGCCGTGCTCTCCACATCCACAACCCCAGCAGCCTCCAGATGAGATGCAGGGACCTTCAGATGGATGCTCTTAGGATGCAGAGCCCAGCAACTGCAGCGTCCCCCACCTTGGACAGTGGAAAGGAGGGAAAGAAAGAACGGGGACCTCTTACAAGCCCAAAGGAAGAAATCCCCAGCAGGGGATTACTGGGGAGACCCAGGTGCTGTGGCAGGAGGATGCACAGTGCTGGATGCCCCGTGGGCCATGAACTCCCAGGCGCGGGGGCTGATGCTGTAAGTCAACAGGGTTTATCTGCAAGAGTCCCTCACGTCCATACGGTTTTGCAGGGCTGAGGTAGAAATACAGGATTATTTAGATTCAAAAATTTCCGAATTTTCTCCAAGTACCTTCCCCATCATTCCTAACACGTGTGCATCATAGGAGCTCGATCCAAAATACAACGGAGCTTTGCTCAGCAACTGTACACAAGATGTTTTCTGAGCAGGTAACCCCGCGGTCAAGCTCCTGAGGAGCAGCTCTGCCACGGCCTTGGTGGGACATGGCCAATGCCCACGCTGTTCTCCAGGGCTATTACACAACGTGGGTTGATGAAATCTGGAACACAACCTTTAAAGAAAGGCAATGGGGCAGGGGGAGGAGGAAACCAAACAAAAGGGACATTTTACTTTCTGCCAAGAACCAGGAGGGGAAGGAAAAAAAAAAACCCACAACCATTTGTCTATCTCGCATGGCGGGCTGGTTGCCTTGGCACCAGGGCCCAGCTGTCCCAGGGGGGAGATCGCGGCTCTGCCGTCCCGCTCTGCCACGACGCTGCACGGGAAGGGCTCAGGCTCCGGCTGGCTCTGCCCTGGCTCCCAGCGCTGCCCCAGAGCAGCAGCGAGCCTGCAGCGCCTGGGGAAGAGACATCCACGCTGCCTCCATAAATGCTTCTTGACAAATGTTAATTCTCTGAGCTAAAATATTCATGAGGGTGGCTGCCGATGAGCGCGCTGCTCATTTGCAGCACTCTTGAGTACTCTGCAAAAGCAGCTGCTGTGTTTGCTAAAAGCTTCACCCATCCCCGGTGCCCGGGCTCGGCTGATCGCGGTGCTCGAGGCGGGATGCAAGCAGGACCTTGGCTGGGCTGCGGCGTGGGACGGAGCAAGACTCTGCTCCCCCATCGCCACGGCCGCATCAGAGCAACATGGGAGACAACCATGCCTTGGGTGACGGCAGCAATGCAGCTTGGACAGGCAGCTCCCGGCACCAGCGTGGCACAGGGAGCCCACACCAGCGCCACCTCCACCATTCCCACCCGGAGGCCATCAGCAAGAAAGCACCAACTCCTTCAAAAGTCACAGGGAGCTCCCTCGTCA